ACATTAAATTATGTATTAAATATTCATGTAGAGTATAGCTATCACTTTAAAAATATTTTGTTTCTTCTACAATCTCCCAACATTTAACAGTTTTCCCAAAAAGTTTCCCCGTCCCCCTACAAATAATTAATTCTCCCAACTTTAGAGCAATTCGCCTACGTGTGGCAGCACTGATTGTTAATTTTGTGTTTGATGTTTTTTCAACAATTCATTTCATATTTTCATAAGTATATTTTTAGCCTCAGTCATTTCCCCTACATTCATCTACTACCTTCTTTGTCTCCTTGCCAGCTTTTTATTTGAAATTTATTTCCGTTTGTAGCAACTGCCACTTGTAAACTTAGCAGACAGTTTTAAAGTGCCTATATCACCTCTGTATTTTGATGGTTTTGAAAAGCATAAAAGTTACTTAATAAGTTTCAAAACATGTTTTGATTTTTGTAATAGTTGTTGAAAATTAAAGCTTTAAGATGGAAAATAGTAAATATTTTTGTCGTGTTAGGGGACTGGGCTCAGGAACGCATCTTGTCATTTACAATGAATTTCAATTCCGATAACTAATTGGGAAAATTGTATTTTCTTATAAAATGGTCGCTATTTAGAGCTCAAAATCTCTTTCTAGCTTTAACAAGGGTTCGTACGTTTGTCCTGAATGTGAAATAGAAAATGAAACATTTGTAACGACATCAAAATGTTGTCAGTAAAATTAGGTTATTGTTTGCGCATATGCTCGTACGTCAAGCACTCAAGTCGCAATTTTAGGACTTGTTGAATGCACTTGGGAATCTCATTACAGCAGCGATATTCTCTTGTATCAACTAAGAATTTGTTATTGCAATTCAAACATGTGCACCAGAAACCAGTAGTCTTGATGTTTAGTTATTGTTGTTTAGTTATTGCAGTAATGTTGATGTCGTTTCAAATGTTTCATCTTTCATTTCATAATCAGGACATGTTTCGGCGTACTTTATGCCATCTTCAGTGCGAAGTGAGTAAATATAGGAAGTTTACATGATAATATGTTATAGTGATAAAGCGGAACTGTCGAATAGTTATGAATAATTATTTACAGTTGAATAAGGTGTTATAAAATATTTGTGATAGGTTTTATCAAAGAAAAAAAAATCACAATGAAAATGAATAATATCTGATAAAGTAGTAATTGCTATTTACAGGTCAAAGATAATGTTAAAAATTTTAAATCCAACGTCGTTTATGAATTTTCTTGTGCTGGATGTAATTCCAGTTACATTGGGGAGACCACCCGCCACCTTTCCACACGGATTAAAGAACACACAACCACGGACAAAACTCACACATATTCAGACACTTACTCTCGTCACCACACTGCAACAACAATTACACACAATCCTGTTTCCGTATCTTAGATAACGCTCACATTTCTTTCGCCCTTAAACTCAAAGAAGCCCTTTATATCAAGAAACGTAAACTTAACCTCGACAAACAAATACGACATCTCAACACTATCTTTGACCTGTAAATAACAATTTCTACTTTATCAGATATTATTCATTTTCTTTGTAATTTTTTTTTTCCTTTGATAAAACCTAACACAAACATTTTATAACACCTTATTCAACTGTAAATAATTATTCATAACTATTCGATATTTCCGCTTTATCACTATAACATATTATCATGTAAACTTCTTATATTGACTCACTTCGCACTGAAGATGGCATAAAGTACGCCGAAACATGTTTGCTATAATGATATTTATCGTCTATTTTAAATGTCCTATAACCATTGTGCTCTCACAAAATTATATAAACTAAAACCTACGACACAACCAACGAAAATACTCCCAAATAAATCGCAGTTGAATTGTGTTGTAAAATTAGATTTTTAAGTCAAAAGAGTCCACAAAGTAATCGTGTATTACTTCTCTTTAATATACACATAAAAACGGCCAAGATAGTCCACTTAAACTCCATAAAAAGCATTTTTGAACCCGACCATCTTATTTTCGTCATATTGTTTAAATAGAAGTATAATATAAAACAAATTCCGAAGAAGCAAGACATCTTGAGATTGCAAAGTATGAATCAAAACAAGACGAGAAGTAAACTGTAAATTTTTGACTTTATTTCAAAGTCAGATATGAGGAATGAACGAACAGAAAGCTAATACTGGCAGTAGCATAACTTTATTAACGGCTGCTGATTTGCATAAAGACAATCCACTTGGACAGAAAAGCAATGTGCTTTAATGTTATTATCGGCGCTTTGAACAGTAAGAATATTTCATTGACTGCATCACTCATGGTAAAGTACATTTTAATAGTAGTAGCAGTAATATGGCTTTATTAACGATTTCTGATTTGCATCTAGGCGATGAACTAGGTGAGAAAGCAGTTTGCTTCCATATTGTAAACGGCTCTTAACAGCATGAATATTTCACTGACCGCATGATGGACAAACGTACTTTTAATTAATGTGTTATTGCACATAGACAAAAATTCCGTTTGTGGGTGCTGCTCCTTGAAAACTTGGAAGACAGATTAATAGCACCACAATAATTATTATTCGATGTTAATTTTGTGTTTGATGTTTTTTGGGCTTTAACTCATTTCCCCTACATTTAGCTATAAGATTCTTTGTCTCCTAATCAAGGGATACTCCTTTGAAGTTTTTTGTCACGCCCACAATTGCCGTAAGTAAGCGCCACCATGTTCATTTACTCACTTTACGACCCAAAACCTTGGACTTGGGGGCGTTCACTTTCAGTAAAAGTCTGCTTCACCAACAACTTCAAAGGAATGTTCCTTCAGGTTTGTTACAAATTCTGTGACCTTATAGACGTAAATAAAAAGTAAATAATAACAAATACGATCCTTTCAGCGTATTTCTAGTAGAGTAAAGGAAGGGGGGGGGTGTAACGATTGCTAATTTACGGCTTGGGCCCAGTATCCACTGATAATGTGTTTGTTAATAACTGATGAAAGAAAGTCTAAAATTAAAGCAGTATCCACTGTTCAGACAGATGAGTCAAATATCAAACGCGTTTGATATTTGACTCATCTGTCACGAATGACAAATGAAAGAACTTTTGTCGATACTTGTCACGAATAACAAGTAAAGTTCAAAAAGGAAAACAAAAATTATTTGTAATAAAGTTATCTCAATTTGAGCGCGGACAGCGTCATGATGGTCAGCATTCAAAATTTGCTTTTAATAATTGCTTTGATGGCGGTTGGATAACTTTAGCATTGACAAACCATCAACCAGATTTCTCAAACTTTAGAATGGTGTCGTCTTCATCTTCTGCTTAAGTCATTTTTGTTTCAACTGTCTGTATGTTTCATCTTCAACAATGTACAAATGTTCAATTTCGATGTTAGATCACTATCAAATTTCAGGAACATTGTTTTCAAAATGTAAAAACTTAAGATTCCGATATAATGAAAGCTATGAAATTCATTTGCTATTTAATCTGCCGTTTCACCTTGGCACGAAGAATGAAACTGATGTACTGGCCCTACAAGTCGTGATCGATGAATGAATTAAATGCTTCGAATGAGGTATTTTCCGGTTGCCAGTCTCCCTTAAATTTGCGCGGTTTTTGTAATGCATTCTAGGATCGCCAGGGGGCAAACATTTCTTTGTATAGAGCCATAGGTAATTCTTGGTTACTACAAGTCACTTATCATAAAATCATTCAGAGCCATAGGTAATTCTTGGTTACTACAAGAAACTTATCATAAAATCATTCAGAGACATAGGTAATTCTTGGTTACTACAAGACACTTATCATAAAATCATTTAGAGCCATAGGTAATTCTTGGTTACTACAAGACACTTATCATAAAATTATTCAGAGCCATAGGTAATTCTTGGTTACTACAAGACACTTATAATAAAATCATTTAGAGCCATAGGTAATTCTTGGTTACTACAAGACACTTATCATAAAATCATTTAGAGCCATAGGTAATTCTTGGTTACTACAAGGCACTTATCATAAAATCATTAAGAGCCATAGGTAATTCTTGGTTACTACAAGACACTTATCATAAAATCATTAAGAGCCATAGGTAATTCTTGGTTACTACAAGACACTTATCATAAAATCATTAAGAGCCATAGGTAATTCTTGCTTACTACAAGACACTTATCATAAAATTATTCAGAGCCATAGGTAATTCTTGGTTACTACAAGACACTTATCATAAAATTATTCAGAGCCATAGGTAATTCTTGGTTACTACAAAGACACTTATCATAAAATTATTCAGAGCCATAGGTAATTCTTGGTTACTACAAGACACTTATCATAAAATAATTCAAAGCCATAGGTAATTCTTGGTTACTAAAAGGCACTTATCATAAAATCATTCAGAGCCATAGGTAATTCTTGGTTACTACAAGTCACTTATCACAAAATTACTCAGAGCCATAGGTAATTCTTGGATACTACAAGTCACTTATCATAAAATCATTCAGAGCCATAGGTAATTCTTGGTTACTACAAGACACTTATCATAAAATTACTCAGAGCCATAGGTAATTCTTGGTTACTAAAAGGCACTTATTACTTGGTTTCACCATATCAATGGATAAAAATGGCAACCCAAAAAGATCAATTTACATTTAAATCTTTTGTATCTTATTAAATGTCCAATACAAACTTTCAATAACATACATAAATTTGCAAAAATTACTACAGTGTACATATCATAAATGCTATGTCCAAGCAGTGATGACCATTTTTAGCTGCTATGACTTTCAAGAGCACAGGCAATGAAAGAATTATTTGGTCAAGTAAAAAGTACCACTGTACGTAGTCATAACAAGTAAACATTAACTGTTGCTAAAATACAACATACATACCTGGGCTATGTAATATTTGGTCAAGTAAAAAGTACCACTGTAGGTAGTCATAACAAATAAAACAATGCCATGTTTATTTCATTTAAGCAAATATGTACGTACGTAAAACATTCACATTTAACTTTTCCTATGGATTTTTTATTGACTCACCTTTTCCCATTGTGATAACCAGCCACAACTAACTGATTCCAAAGTGGATTTATTTTGGTGCGTCTGAAAAATTGTTGCAGAGATGTTGTTAACAGATATGTTATCAATGTCAATGGAAATGATCAAACAAGTTATTGCTAGCAATGTTGTCGTTGGAGATGTTGTCTATAGAGATGTTGTCTATAGAGATGTTGTCAACAGAGACGTTGTCAATAGAGATGTTGTCTATAGAGATGTTGTCAATAGAGATGTTGTCAACAGAGACGTTGTCTATAGAGATGTTGTCTATAGAAGTGTTGTCTATAGAGATGTTGTCAACAGAGATGTTGTCAACAGAGACATTGTCAACAGAGACATTGTCAACAGAGACGTTGTCAATAGAGATGTTGACAACAGAGATGTTGTCTATAGAGATGTTGTCAACAGAGATGTTGTCTACAGAGATGTTGTCTACACAGATGTTGTCTATAAAGATGTTGTCTATAGAGATGTTGTCTATAAAGATGTTGTCTATAGAGATGTTGTCTATAGAGATGTTGTCTATAGAGATGTTGTCTATAGAGATGTTGTCAACAGAGATGTTGTCAATAGAGATGTTGTCTATAGAGATGTTGTCAATAGAGATGTTGTCAACAGAGATGTTGTCTATAGAGATGTTGTTTATAGAAGATGTTGTCTATAGAGATGTTGTCAACAGAGATGTTGTCAACAGAGACATTGTCAACAGAGACGTTGTCAATAGAGATGTTGACAACAGAGATGTTGTCTATAGAGATGTTGTCAACAGAGATGTTGTCTACAGAGATGTTGTCTATAGAGATGTTGTCTATAAAGATGTTGTCTATAGAGATGTTGTCTATAAAGATGTTGTCTATAGAGATGTTGTCTATAGAGATGTTGTCTATAGAGATGTTGTCTATAGAGATGTTGTCTATAGAGATGTTGTCAACAGAGATGTTGTCTATAGAGATGTTGTCTATAGAGATGTTGTCTATAAAGATGTTGTCTATAGAGATGTTGTCTATAGAGATGTTGTCAACAGAGATGTTGTCTATAGAGATGTTGTCTATAGAGATGTTGTCTATAGAGATGTTGTCTATAGAGATGTTGTCTATAGAGATGTTGTCTATAGAGATGTTATCTATAGAGATGTTATCTATAGAGATGTTGTCTATAGAGATGTTATGTATAGAGATGTTGTCAACGGAGATGTTGTTTATAGAGATGTTGTCTATAAAGATGTTGTCTATAGAGACGTTGTCTATAAAGATGTTGTCTATAGAGATGTTGTCTATAGAGATGTAGAGATGTTGTCTATAGAGATGTTGTCTATAGAGATGTTGTCAACAGAGATGTTGTCTATAGAGATGTTGTCTATAGAGATGTTGTCTATAAAGATGTTGTCTATAGAGATGTTGTCTATAGAGATGTTATCTATAGAGATGTTATCTATAGAGGCGTTATCTATAGAGATGTTGTCTATAGAGATGTTATCTATAGAGATGTTGTCAACGGAGATGTTGTCTATAGAGATGTTGTCTATAGAGATGTTGTCTATAGAGATGTTGTCTATAGAGATGTTGTCTATAGAGATGTTGTCTATAGAGATGTAGAGATGTTGTCTAGAGATGTTGTCTATAGAGATGTTGTCTATAGAGATGTTTTCTATAGAGATGTTGTCTATAGAGATGTTGTCTATAGAGATGTTGTCTATAGAGATGTTGTCTATAGAGATGTTGTCAATAGAGATGTTGTCTAGAGATGTTGTCTATAGAGATGTTGTCTATAGAGATGTTATCTATAGAGATGTTGTCAACGGAGATGTTGTCTATAGAGATGTTGTCTATAGAAATGTTATCCATAGAGATGTTATCTATAGAGATGTTGTCTATAGAGATGTTGTCTATAGAGATGTTGTCTATAGAGATGTTGTCTATAGAGACATTGTCAATGGAGATGCTTTTTACACAAATATTTTTAAAAGAAATGTAGTAATTGTTCATTGAAAATGCTGCACCAAACCTGTAATACAAAAGTTTTGTCAACCATGAAAAATTGCTGCTGGCGTTAAGCCATGACCATCGTCGTAGCATGCATCATCAATACTAAAAACAAATTAAAATTTATTTTAAACTAAATTGCTGCCTGTAAAAAGAATCATCTTCAATTATACTGGCACTTTTTGTTTCACTGTCTCTTGGATGTACTGAAAGTCAGCAATGTCCCCCGAGCCACCAATTACAGTGTTCTTGTTCACCTTCATAAGACGTGAGAGTTGTCTGAAGCGTGCCAATGAGCCATAGGAACCTAAAATGAAGAAATGCAAATAAGCTTCATTCTTAGCAATTCAATTACACTGGAAGACAGCTCACCTAAGGTGTCTGCTGCTAAAGCAACTCCTCCATTGAAGCAAATCCCAAGAACTGATGTTCCCTGAGTAACTGGATACCTAATGAAGAAAAATGGCTTTCGTTTAAGTAAGGGGGCACTCTACATCATTTGTAAAATACATATAAAATGTCGGTCCATAAAATGAGAGAAAATGAAAAATGTCTGGTCCAGGTGAAATTGAAGGAAAGGTAATTAAAAAGTCAACCTCAGATCACAGAATGTCCGAGCCACATATTAAATACTTCACTCTTGAGTTTTAAGGATCTTCACATTTGGGTAAAACAAAATTGCAAAAAAATTTCCCCCCTTTTTTGCCATGATCGTGTAATTTGGTTCAGTCGTGACGTCACAAGCTAGTCACAATAGAAACTGAACGTACTTACGAAAGAAACAAGAATTTTATTACTTTATAGAAGGTAAAAACAAGGCATTATGCGTCAGTGTAAAATTATATTTTGAAATTATAATTTTTTTAGAAAACAAACATTAAAATTTCACAACAAAATATCTTAATAAATTCATCAGTAGACAATAGACAGTAATAGTATCAAAAAACATTAGTTAAATAAAAAAGCTATCACGGATTAAAATATGAAGAATTGCGTTATTGACGATCACTTACATGCTTCGTTTTGTAGGCTCGTGAATTTCCAAGGAATGCTGTCGAGGGAAATCGTAGAACTGACCTGGAATCGGTCCATTTTGCCAAAAGCATGCTTTCTCCATTGAGTTCTATAATAACTGGAGGGGAAACGTCAACAAAATTAGTATAAATTATTAGCGCGCGGCCGCGTGGTCAAAAACATGGCGGATTTTGGTGGTCAAAGTCAGCGGAGAGACGCGGGCTCATGAAATAAAATTTTTGTCGCCCACCCTGATTTGACCACCACGATTGCGAGTATAGAAAATATCAAAACTATTTATTTTCCTAACATAAACACTTTTTTAAAACTTTATTTATTAAGCTGCCAACTTTTGTGGTTTGCGGATGTTGAAATAGCGACAGAAAAGGGAACATTTCTTGACTCCGGTAAGTAGCACAGTATTAGTTTTACCATTTTGTTTTTAACACGATACTTGAAGAGTGTTTCTACTACTAAGTTTTAATTTAAAGTTATTTTGGTCCAGTCTTGTTTGTTCTTCACTTAATCGCTCGCCAGACGTGGCGAAGCTGTCAATTTTTATCGAGTTTTGCATCCATCTTGTATCATGATCAAGGCATCAAGCTAAACTCTCCTGATTTGAATTGAGTTTACCTCCCAAAAATGGGGCATAATTTGTTCATGTTTTTTTTTGAAAAGATGAAGGGAAAGTTTACAACAGAGTTGTGTTGAAAGTGAATGCAGTGCCATGCAAAATTAATGAGAACTATGGTATATGTTGTATAATAAAAATAACTATTAAATTGTTTGCCTGCTCAATTTGACTGACTGTATGGTGTAGACAATTATAATGAGATTGGAAAGTTGGATTTATGCAAACAATTTTAAAGTACTACTTAGCGTTTCTGTAAATGAAGTATTTATTGTTATAGTAAACAGGTTAATACTTCAAAACCAAGATGAAAGTAGTGTGTTGAACAATGTGCTAAGATTTGTTTCTACCTTGAAATTTTTGTTCAACAGTAGCTTATGATTATATCATTAATATGCATGAAAAATTAAACATATTGTCTCAACTCATTAAATCCATACTTGGTATGATTCCAGGTAATCCACAAATTCACATCGGATGCACTAGTTACAATGAAGTTGAATGTAGAAGAAGCAAAAATAGATGGCAAAGAAATTCTTTCTGTCTTATGAAGAATTAGTAGAAATCAATAAAAAGAATTCTTTAAACAAATTGTAAACAAATTTAAATTGCTCATGGTCAAGGAACCTAGTCAAAGAAACAAAGTCTGTCTTCAACATGCAACCTTTCCAATTATTTAGTTTCTTTGTACAAAATACTATTTTCGAGAAACTTGATTTGTAAGTCTTTCATTAATATTTTTTTACCAAGAGATAAAAGGAACTAATTCAAAGGCTTGATGTAAAATACAAAGATTTAACAAGTTGTTTATCATTTAATTCCCAAATGTTAGTTTGTACATATAAATAATTAGTATTGGTAGCTGTAAGTTGTTTAAGCAAAACAGAAGAGTAGTAGTGCTCGAAGGGGTTAGCATTTTGAAAAATTATATCTTGTTCATGACATATATTACACAATTCCAAAACTGTAAGTAATGCACAATAATATCTATAGAACTTGATAAATTTCTTCACCTACACTGTCAAATAACTATTTTGCCTTCATGCAGCAATAGACAGTGTTTTTGTCAGAGAAACCAGTGCACTTTAGTTTCCAAGTTTGTAATTTCAATGGAAAATTAATGTAGTTCTGTTCAGTAATAGATCCAAGATTCTGCCAAGCTGTTTACAAAATACAAATTACATGGCAAAAGTATCATGGTGTTTTGAATTTTTTTCTTTTTTGTAGCTCTACTAGTTCAACATGCTTTCTTTATGAGTTTTCAGTAGATTTATCAGGTAATGACAATACACTTATGATACTTATCCATGGTAAATTTTCAGTTGACTTATGTCGTAGGACTGAAGCAAACATTTTATTGCTTCCTTAGGAGCATTTTTACACAGATTTATCCATTTGAGCAAGAAAAATAGTTGCACCAAACTGTTTACAAACAGTCAAACACACAAAAGCATGAAATAATGTATAAGTTTGACGAGATTGACAGGACTAGTAAAGAATGCCGTTTGATTTTCACTTTTAAAAGGCTAAAATGTCATAAAATAACTTAAATGTTACATCCAAAATATGCGTTTCTCTACCGTCGATCTTCTTTATTTTGATGTGTGTCTGTACTGTGTTTTTCACGCAATGCTGAAGCATTATTTTCACATGATATGCTGTCGGTATCGTAATTGTTTTTTTGCTCACTTGTTTTCGTTCATACAAACAGTGTTAGAAATCAGGAGGAAGTGAATATTGAAAAAAATTTTTAAAGTGGAAATTTTGACCACCAAAATCCGCCATTACCGCCATGTTTTTGATCACGGGGTCCAGGCCCCTTTGCCCCTCCAGGTTTTATAGAGCTCAATGGCTTTCTCTGAAGACGCCATTTTGAAAAGTTCTCGCAATTTCACCCGATTAGCAAACCCAAAAGTTTACGGCGACAGCCGAAAAAATATTCTGTTTGCGCATGATCCACATGATCAGCGCAAACTTTTTAAATTCAAAATTGATTTTTCGATTCTGTTTAAAAAAATTGGCGAATTGACAATTCAAGGCTTTTTCTTCAATCATTTATCCGACTTTGGCATGCATTGCATTGCAAAATTCAAACAGGAGAGAGCAGAATATTACCCATAATGAAACTCCTTTTCATGACGTAACCATAAAAAGGAACGAAACACGACAATCTGAGAACATAGCAAAAGAAGGTTGGTGGTCATCAATATTGAGTAAATGTCAAATTATTTTGGGAGAATGCTTGGATATTTAGAAAACCAAAATCAATGTTTTGTGCTGCTGGGAACTTTAAAGACACCAAAGAAACTACATTTCATGAGGAAGCTTTCCTAGTCTAAACAGTGAAGAGTATTCTTTATGGACAAAGCTTGGTCATTCTTCATGGCTATAGTGAGACTCAGAAAGTGGCAAATATGTACACTAATGACTATGTGTTAACTTTGAAAGGCAAAAAAAGAGGCCAAAAGCATGTAAAGTAAATGAAGATTTTTCGTTTTGAAAGTCGATGCATTGACTGAAAAACATCTTGGGTTACGTTATAACAGTTTAATCTTACATCGAAATTTGTCTTATTCTTGAGAGTTGTAGCAACAATCTTTTCTTCGGAATGTCAAAGAAGCTAGATTTAAGAAATAAAAGATGTTTACTGTGTTTGCACAGGCTTACGAAAACGAGGAGGCATTTGGGAGAACTTGAGAAATGATCAGTGCAAGCCCGAAACCGAAGGTCGAGGGTTGTGCCTGCTCGAAAAATTTGCAGTTACAGCATCATTTGACTGATAATTAGTTCAAAGTACAATGAATAACAAATTTAAAATCAACTATATCGTAGAAAGGATAAATCTAAAGCGCGACGAGTTTGCCGTCATCACAACTATTTGTTTGACGCAATGAAAAAGGTTATTCGTATGGGCAAGTTTTCACAAGAAAAACCGCTTGTCAATTATCATTTTTGTTCTAATTCAACAAACCAGAACATTATTTAGGTAATTATTCACTGAAAACAGCTTCATTTGATCATTTTGTTCTAATTGATCAAATTTAGTTACAAGTGATCGAGCGACCTTTTCTCGAAAGATGACTGGGAGTATTGGAACTTCAATCAACAGTCTTCTTAAGGACTACACTAACCTGGCGATGTACGTTTGCAAAACATGTTACGATATTCCCATGCTCAACAACAAGAAATTTAATAAAATTATATTAATTCCATATGCTTATGAAATACTTAATCAGGCAATCAGCCAGGCAATTTAAACGATGAAATTACATTACATTACCAAAATTATAATGTTAGGGTAATTATAATACTGGTGCTAGTCCAACAATAACTCGGCGTATATAAACTTATGAACTATCAAGTTATATTACAAAAATCAAAAGATTCAAAGATTCCAAGATTTCAAGATTCCAGAATTCCAAGGCTCCAAGATTACAAGATTCCAAATTCCAGATTCCATGTTTTATAATTTACCGAGTGTAAACTACTTGAGACATGGCTAATAAGTGGCATTATGTAAATCTAACTTGACCATACGTTATAATTTATAGCCATACTCGTCTGTCGTATGCCAAGGTCCATACTAAAACGAGGTTTACTATCTCTCAAGCAGTCGTTTGAAAATCTATCACAAAACATTCAAGATGTATTTACCACTACTGGCATCAGTCATGCTGATATTTTGTTCTTCCATCATCGATTCGGTTGCAGGTCGTGAATATTCAAAAGGTAAAGTGCTGAACATTATCAAAGGAAAGGTAAAAAAGGAAAGGTAAAAAAGACTGTTTGTTCGAAAGTTGATTACATGCATAAAAACTGAACCTCGCACGCACGTCTGGTAGACTGGAGACTTAAAATAATGCTTTCGTCTTATGTTTCAGGAATATTTAATCACTTGATTGAAGGAATACCATTGGCAAATATCACCACCAACATAGACTTTAAAGTTGAACAGATGATAAAAAGGGGAAATGTAGCAGTATGAAGATACCGAAGACATACTTATGGAAAGAACAACGAAATGTTATTAACATTCCGGTAAGTTTGTTATAGCTCATATATAAAAAGAAGCAAAATTAAAGCGAACCTAAGTCAAAAAGTGATTATAAAAAAAACTTTACTTTTTGTGGTAATTTAGCCTTTGTTGACATGTAACATTCATCTGTCGTATTGAACTATGAATACGAAATTTGTCTGCGTAGAGATGTGAATAATCATTATTATTCAATATGTAAGCAAGCTGTGATTGGTCAACTACCTGCAGATAATTCTTGATATCTGCAATTATGACGTCATATCTACAGATAATATTTCTAAAATTATGGACGCCATTAAAAGCCTGTTTTGAAAACAAATCAACCATCAGCGATGTTTGTCACAGTTTCTAAAAACATTGTGAAATCTTTTAGACGAAAAGGGTGCGGAAGACACTAAAAAAGCGGCGAAGCTGGCTTTGAACACATTTACAACACAATTAAACGAAACGAATTTGAATAAATTGTCTGACAAAAACAACTTAGCGAAGGTTTAAAAAATGTTTTATATTGATATGTTTTGATAATACTTCAGTGAATAATAAAACAATTAATGAATTCGTTTTACGCATGATGTCAAGAGTTATTCAAACCAACGTCAATAATATCCGCCTCTGCTTCGCATCGGTAGATAACATTGACCTTGGTCTGAATAATTCTTGATATCATGCTCAACCTCATCAATAATTGCTTATTATCAGCAGGATTTCGAAAAAATTCTCTAGCCAAACATGCAAATTGAAAAATGCTTTATGTACTGAAACACAAGTCACGATTTACAGAAATATAAATTAAACCCATTTCTAGTGGAGTTAAGAAGGGGGGGGATAGGGGAGGGGCACCATTTGCTACTTGACTAAAGCATCGCACCTTAAAATAAGCAATCACTGTAACTGCGTTTCCTAAATAACAGTTGAATGACTACGAAAAACTTTAGACGGAGACAAGAAAATTTTGTAATAAACATGTTTCAAAATGAAAGTCTACAACGGTTATGGTCTCCAAACTCATTTTATCTAGAAAATCAGGCTACATAATATGACAAATAAATGTAGGTCTTGTTTCTCCAATGTTTAGTTCAACAATCATGACGTCGGCGGACAGAGGTTCTCTCGCACATTTGAAACAAGATTGTGAATCAAGTATTTGCCCTTGATCTTTTTCCAAACGATGATTGCTCTGCAAAGAAATTTTATTCATTTAGTTCATTTGCCATCACCGAATAGGAAACGAAATGCTTAAATTTGGCTGCCCGTGGTGTGTTTTTGCATTTTAAAGATTCTAATCATCTCCAAAAATATCTCTATCACGTACGCAAAAGGTCAAAAGGTCGGCTTTTGCTCTCGGTTATAAGATGACAGCCAAATTTTCTATGTTATGTCAAAATTCACTTTAAAAGTGTTCATTCATCATACGAATGAAAAATTAGATTTGCTGTTATAACTTCTCACCGGACAGTTGCAAGGACACTGCAATCTTTTCCATGCGACGTCAAGTGGTATCTAAGAGTCACAATGTCTCCCTTGTCATAAACGTTGTCGATAAAAACGTTCATCTTTTTAATAGCTGACAAATTCTCGCCTTGGAAGTGCTTTAACAAATCTAAACGATAATGTGAAAATACAAAATGAAACTCTTGCAACATCTGCGAGTGTGCAGGCAAGTTTTAAAAATGAAAAATGCCTCCCTTACCAGTTTTGCCAATTATTGCCGGTAAACCTTGATTAATTAATACACAGTCATCAGTGTAGAATTTCAACACGTCTTTACCCTTTCCCGCGAGAACGAGTGCGTAATTTTGGTCAAGTATGCTTTTAAGTGTTTCTTCCACTAAACAAAACAAAGGAGTGCGATAAGTATTTTGATTTTAGAAACACAAATGATTAATGTCATTATTATTCTAAAAAGATAAGTCATTGATACACGCGAAACACAAATGACAACTTCTATAACTACATTTAATTTCTTTCGATGTTGCTGTATCAACAACCAAAGGATAAAACATCAACAAGAACGATGCCAGTAGCGCTGTATTCATTTCGAATTGTTCGTGTTAATTTTCCCAACGTTTTCCTCGCGAACTGATCAGTGCTAGACTTCGTGATGGTGTGAACTTTTGGTAACATATCACTTCATTTATGTACTCTCACCCATCAACATCTTCTTTCCTCCCATTGGCTAGGCAAAATTAATTTCTACATTCAATATTTATGTAGTTTGCATGAGGTCTGTGACGTGCACTCATTTTCAAAGAGTCTTGTTTACGAGACTTCTTTGAAGAGATGTTTGATCAAAACGCGTATAGCGACATCATTAACAATGGACAGACGATTTCTAAAGACAAGTTTACCCTAGTTTGTTGAACAAAATTTTGGCCTTTTCAAGATGTATTTACCACTACTGGCATCAGTCATGCTGATATTTTGTACTTCCATCGTCGATTCGGCTGCTGCACGTAAACATACAAGGTAAAGTGCTGAACATTATAAAAAACTTTGACCTTTTGTAATAAATTAGCCTTTGTAAACATGTAACATTCCTCTGTCGTATTCAACTATGAATACGAAATTTGTCTGCGCAGAGACGTGAAGAATCATTATTATTCACTATGTAAGCAAGCTGTGATTGGTCAACTACCTGCAGATAATTCTCGATATCTGCAATTATGACGTCATATCTACAGATAATATTTCTAAAATTATGGACGCCATTAAAAGCATGTTTTGAAAACAAATCAACCATCAGCGATGTTTGTCACAGTTTCTAAAAACATTGTGAAATCTTTTAGACGAAAAGGGTGCGGAAGACACTAAAAAGCGGCGAAGCTGGCTTTGAACATATTTACAACATAATTAAACGAAACGAATTTGAATAAATTGTCTGACAAAACAACTTAGCGAAGGTTTGAAAAATGTTTTATATTGATATGTTTTGATAATACTTCAGTGAATAATAAAACAATTAATGAATTCGTTTTACGCATGATGTCAAGAGTTATTCAAACCAACGTCAATAATATCCGCCTCTGCTTCGCATCGGTAGATAACATTGACCTTGGTCTGAATAATTCTTGATATCATGCTCAACCTCATCCAATAATTGCTTATTATCAGCAGGATTTCGAAAAAAATTCTCTAGCCAAACATGCAAATTGAAAAATGCTTTATGTACTGAAACACAAGTCACGATTTACAGAAATATAAATTAAACCCAGTTCTAGTGGAGTTAAGAAGGGGGAGAGGGGAGGGGCACCATTTGCTACTTGACTAAAGGGAGGCACCTTAAAATAAGCAATCACTGTAACTGCGTTTGTTAAATAACAGTTGAATGACTACGAAAAACTTTAGACGGAGACAAGAAAATTTTGTAATAAAGATGTTTCAAAATGAAAGTCTACAACGGTTATGGTCTCCAAAGCTCATTTTATCTAGAAAATCAGGCTACATAATATGACAAATAAATGTAGTGTCTTGTCTTCTCCAATGTTTAGTTCAACAATCATGACGTCGGCGGACAGAGGTTCTCTCGCACATTTGAAACAAGATTGTGAATCAAGTATTTGCCCTTGATCTTTTTCCAAACGATGATTGCTCTGCAAAGAAATTTTATTCATTTAGTTCATTTGCCATCACCGAATAGGAAACGAAATGCTTAAATTTGGCTGCCCGTGGTGTGTTTTGCATTTTAAAGATTCTAATCATCTCCAAAATATCTCTATCACGTACGCAAAAGGTCAAAAGGTCGGCTTTTGCTCTCGGTTATAAGATGACAGCCAAATTTTCTATGTTATGTCAAAATTCACTTTAAAATGTGCTCATTCATCATACAATGAAAAATTAGATTTGCTGTTAAAAGTTCTCACCGGACAGTTGCAAGGACACTGCAATCTTTTCCATGCGACGTCAAGTGGTATCTAAGAGTCACAATGTCTCCCTTGTCATAAACGTTGTCGATAAAACGTTCATCTTTTAATAGCTGACAAATTCTCGCCTTGGAAGTGCTTTAACAAATCTAAACGATAATGTGAAAATACAAAATGAAACTCTTGCAACATCTGCGAGTGTGCAGGCAAGTTTTAAAATGAAAAATGCCTCCCTTACCAGTTTTGCCAATTATTGCCGGTAAACCTTGATTAATTAATACACAGTCATCTGTATAGAATTTCAACACGTCTTTACCCTTTCCCGCGAGAACGAGTGCGTAATTTTGGTCAAGTATGCTTTTAAGTGTTTCTTCCACTAAACAAAAGAAAAGAGTGCGATAAGTATTTTGATTTTAGAAACACAAATGATTAATGTCATTATTATTCTAAAAAGATAAGTCATTGATACACGCGAAACACAAATGACAACTTCTATAACTACATTTAATTTCTTTCGATGTTGCTGTATCAACAACCAAAGGATAAAACATCAACAAGAACGATGCCAGTAGCGGTGTATTCATTTCGAATTGTTCGTGTTAATTTTCCCAACGTTTTCCTCGCGAACTGATCAGTGCTAGACCTCGTGATGGTGTGTACCTTCTGGTAACATATCACTTCATTTATGTACTCTCACACCCATCAACATCTTCTTTCCTCCCATTGGCTAGGCAAAATTATAATCTACATTCAATATTGATGTAGTTTGCATGAGGTCTGTGACGTGCACTCATTTTCAAAGAGTCTTTTTACGAGACTTCTTTGAAGAGATGTTTGATCAAAAACGCGTATAGCGACATCATTAACAATGGACAGACGATTTCTAAAGACAAGTTTACCCTAGTTTGTTGAACAAAATTTTGGCCTTTTTCAAGATGTATTTACCACTACTGGCATCAGTCATGCTGATATTTTGTACTTCCATCGTCGATTCGGCTGCTGCACGTAAACATACAAGGTAAAGTGCTGAACATTATAAAAAAAACTTTGACCTTTTGTAATAAATTAGCCTTTGTAAACATGTAACATTCCTCTGTCGTATTCAACTATGAATACGAAATTTGTCTGCGCAGAGACGTGAAGAATCATTATTATTCACTATGTAAGCAAGCTGTGATTGGTCAACTACCTGCAGATAATTCTCGATATCTGCAATTATGACGTCATATCTACAGATAATATTTCTAAAATTATGGACGCCATTAAAAGCATGTTTTGAAAACAAATCAACCATCAGCGATGTTTGTCACAGTTTCTAAAAACATTGTGAAATCTTTTAGACGAAAAGGGTGCGGAAGACACTAAAAAAGCGGCGAAGCTGGCTTTGAACATATTTACAACATAATTAAACGAAACGAATTTGAATAAATTGTCTGACAAAAACAACTTAGCGAAGGTTTGAAAAATGTTTTATATTGATATGTTTTGATAATACTTCAGTGAATAATAAAACAATTAATGAATTCGTTTTACGCATGATGTCAAGAGTTATTCAAACCAACGTCAATAATATCCGCCTCTGCTTCGCATCGGTAGATAACATTGACCTTGGTCTGAATAATTCTTGATATCATGCTCAACCTCATCCAATAATTGCTTATTATCAGCAGGATTTCGAGAAAAATTCTCTAGCCAAACATGCAAATTGAAAAATGCTTTATGTACTGAAACACAAGTCACGATTTACAGAAATATAAATTAAACCCAGTTCTAGTGGAGTTAAGGAGGGGAGAGGGAGGGCACCATTTGCTACTTGACTAAAGGAGGCACCTTAAAATAAGCAATCACTGTAACTGCGTTTGTTAAATAACAGTTGAATGACTACGAAAAACTTTAGACGGAGACAAGAAAATTTTGTAATAAAGATGTTTTAAAATGAAAGTCTACAACGGTTATGGTCTACAAAGCTCATTTTATCTAGAAAATCAGGCTACATAATATGACAAATAAATGTAGGGTCTTGTCTTCTCCAATGTTTAGTTCAACAATCATGACGTCGACGGACAGAGGTTCTCTCGCACATTTGAAACAAGATTGTGAATCAAGTATTTGCCCTTGATCTTTTTCCAAACGATGATTGCTCTGCAAAGAAATTTTATTCATTTAGTTCATTTGCCATCACCGAATAGGAAACGAAATGCTTAAATTTGGCTGCCCGTTGTGTGTTTTTTGCATTTTAAAGATTCTAATCATCTCCAAAAATATCTCTATCACGTACGCAAAAGGTCAAAAGGTCGGCTTTTGCTCTCGGTTATAAGATGACAGCCAAATTTTTCTATGTTATGTCAAAATTCACTTTAAAAGTGTTCATTCATCATAACAATGAAAAATTAGATTTGCTGTTAAAAGTTCTCACCGGACAGTTGCAAGGACACTGCAATCTTTTCCATGCGACGTCAAGTGGTATCTAAGAGTCACAATGTCTCCCTTGTCATAAACGTTGTCGATAAAAACGTTCATCTTTTTAATAGCTGACAAATTCTCGCCTTGGAAGTGCTTTAACAAATCTAAACGATAATGTGAAAATACAAAATGAAACTCTTGCAACATCTGGAATGTGCAGGCAAGTTTTAAAAATGAAAAATGCCTCCCTTACCACTTTTGCCAATTATTGCCGGTAAACCTTGATTAATTAATACACAGTCATCTGTATAGAATTTCAACACGTCTTTACCCTTTCCCGCGAGAACGAGTGCGTAATTTTGGTCAAGTATGCTTTTAAGTGTTTCTTCCACTAAACAAAACAAAAGAGTGCGATAAGTATTTTGATTTTAGAAACACAAATGATTAATGTCATTATTATTCTAAAAAGATAAGTCATTGATACACGCGAAACACAAATGACAACTTCTATAACTACATTTAATTTCTTTCGATGTTGCTGTATCAACAACCAAAGGATAAAACATCAACAAGAACGATGCCAGTAGCGGTGTATTCATTTCGAATTGTTCGTGTTAATTTTCCCAACGTTTTCCTCGCGAACTGATCAGTGCTAGACTTCGTGATGGTGTGAACTTTTGGTAACATATCACTTCATTTATGTACTCTCACACCCATCAACATCTTCTTTCCTCCCATTGGCTAGGCAAAATTAATTTCTACATTCAATATTTATGTAGTTTGCATGAGGTCTGTGACGTGCACTCATTTTCAAAGAGTCTTGTTTACGAGACTTCTTTGAAGAGATGTTTGATCAAAAACGCGTATAGCGACATCATTAACAATGGACAGACGATTTCTAAAGACAAGTTTACCCTAGTTTGTTGAACAAAATTTCGACCTTTTTCAAGATGTATTTACCACTACTGGCATCAGTCATGCTGATATTTTGTACTTCCATCGTCGATTCGGCTGCTGCACGTAAACATACAAGGTAAAGTGCTGAACATTATAAAAAAAACTTTGACCTTTTGTAATAAATTAGCCTTTGTAAACATGTAACATTCCTCTGTCGTATTCAACTATGAATACGAAATTTGTCTGCGCAGAGACGTGAAGAATCATTATTATTCACTATGTAAGCAAGCTGTGATTGGTCAACTACCTGCAGATAATTCTCGATATCTGCAATTATGACGTCATATCTACAGATAATATTTCTAAAATTATGGACGCCATTAAAAGCATGTTTTGAAAACAAATCAAACATCAGCGATGTTTGCCACAGTTTCTAAAAACATTGTGAAATCTTTTAGACGAAAAGGATGCGGAAAACACTAAAAAAGCGGCCAAGCTGGCTTTGAACATATTTGCAACATAATTAAACGAAACGAATTTGAATAAATTGTCTGACAAAAAACAACTTAGCGAAGGTTTGAAAAATGTTTTATATTGATATGTTTCGATCATACTTCAGTGAATAATAAAACAATTAATGAATTCGTTTTACGCATGATGTCAAGAGTTATTCAAACCAACGTCAATAATATCCGCCTCTGCATCGCATCGGTAGATAACATTGACCTTGGTCTGAATAATTCTTGATATCATGCTCAACCTCATCCAATAATTGCTTATTATCAGCAGGATTTCGAGAAAAATTCTCTTGCCAAACATACAAATTGAAAAATGCTTTATGTACTGAAAGACAAGTCACGATTTACAGAAATATAAATCAAACCTAGTTCTAGTGGAGTTAAGGAGGGGGGAAACACCATTTGCTACTTGACTAAAAGATCGCACCTTAAAATAAGCTATCACTGATACTATGTTTGCTAAGTAACAGATGAATGACTACGTAAAAATTCAAACGAAGACAAGAACATTTTGGAATAAAGATGTTTCAAAATAGAATTTAAATTAAAAGTCTACAACGGTTATGGTCTTCAAAGCTCATTTTATCTAGAAATTTAGTAATAAGACAAATAAAAGTAGTGTCTATTTTCCTCCAATGCTGAGTTTAACAATCATTTAGGACAGAGGTTCTCTCGCTCATTTGAAACTTGATTGTGAATCAAGTATTTGCCCTTGATCTTTTTCCAAACGATGATTAGTCTGCAAGAAATTTATTCATTTAGTTTATTTGCCATCATCGATTTAGAAATGAAATGCTTAAATTTGGCTGCCCATTGTGTGTTTTAGCATTTTAAAGATCTAATCATCTCCAAAAATATCTCTTTCACGAACGCAAAAGGTCAAAAGGTCAACTTTTGCTCTCGGTTATAAGATGACAGCCAAATTTTTATGTTATGTCAAAATTCACTTTAAAATGTGCTCATTCATCATAACAATGAAAAATTGGATTTGCTGTTAAAAGTTCTCACCGGATAGTGTAAAGGACACTGCAATCTGCTAAATGGTTGGTCCGTGGTATCTAACAGTAACAATGTCTCCCATGTCATAAACGTCGTCCATAAAACGTTAACCTTTTAATAATTGTTGTTTTATTAAAAACGGTTTGGTAGAGATGTAACAACTCTAAACGATATCGTGAAAATACAAAATAAAACTTTTGCAACATCTGCGAGTGTGCAGGCAAGTTTTTAAAATGAAAAATGCCTCACTTACCTGCTTTGCCATTTATTGCCGGAACACCTTGATTAATCAATACACAGTTCTCTGTATAGAATTTTACAATTTCTTTACCCTTTCCCCCCTCGATACCAAGTGTGTAAATTTTGTCAAGTATGCCTTTAAGTGTTTTTTCCACTAGACAAAACAAAGAGTACGATAAGTATTTTGATTTTCAAAACACCAACGACTAATTACATGATTATTCCTAAAAGATAAGTCATTGATACACGCGAAACACAAATGACAACTTCTATAACTACATTTAATTTCTTTCGATGTTGCTGAATCACAAACCAAAGGATAAAACATCAACAAGAACGATGCCAGTAGCGGTGTATTCATCTCAAATTGTTGGTGTTAGTTTTCCAAACGTTTTCCTCGCAAACTGATCAATGCTAGACCTCGTGATGGTGTGTACCTTCCGGTAACATATCACTTCATTTATGTACTCAGACACCCATCAACATCTTCTGTCCTCCCATTGGCTAAGCAAAATTAAAATCTACATTCAATATTCATTGCAGTTTATATGAGGTCTGTGACGTGCACTCATTTTCAAAGAGTCTTGTTTACGAGACTTCTTTGAAGAGATGTTTGATCAAAAACGCGTATAGCGACATCATTAACAATGGACAGACGATTTCTAAAGACAAGTCTACCCTAGTTTGTTGAACAAAATTTCGGCCTTTTTCAAGATGTATTTGCCACTACTGGCATCAGTCATGCTGATATTTTGTACTTCCATCGTCGATTCGGCTGCTGGACGTAAACATACAAGGTAAATTGCTGAACATTATAAAAAACTTGACCTTTTGTGGTAAATTAGCCTTTGTAAACATGTAAAATTTATCTGTCGTATTCAACTATGAATACAAAATTTGTCTGCGCAGAGATGTGAATATGTTTTGATCATACTTCAGTGAACAATAAAACAATTAATGAATTCGTTTTCCGCATGATGTCAGACTTTGTCAATAATATCCGCCTAGGCTACGCTTCGGTAGATAACATCGACCTTGTTCTGAATAATTCTTGATATCATGCTCAACCAATAATTATTATCAGCAGGATTTTGACCAATGAGAGTACGAGAAAAATAGTACATTGAAAAGTAATTTGATTGGTCTAACTCCAACGTCACCATTGTAATGGCTTTATAAAATTATTCGTCGAGTTTTTCATCAAGGTCACATATAAATAACAATATAAACAAATTCGCATATAATCCTCCAAAAGCACTTACATTTATGTTTAATTGTTCGTCAAAGGGAAAAGCCTTTTTTCTATCTTTCCTGTAGAGAAATGTTGGTGTTCAAAAAAATCAACGGTGACTACCTCGCTCACGTGGGAATGGTGAATTTAGAAAATCCATGTCCAATTTCGCCGCCGTGAATAACGTAAAATTATATGTGAGTTTATGCATGAATTGTCAACAGCAAGAATAAAGTTGGTCAGTATATAAAGACATATAGTTCGTGCTACAATTTTTCAATAAAACGTTTTATTGCAAAATATTCTCTTCTCGTTGTATATTTCATGTATAGACGAATGACTGAGTAGTAATAAAGGCAATAAAAGGAGGCAAATGGAGTGTTTGATTTTTTATAGGAATTCATGGATACATTCGAGGAAACTGCTAACATGATTGTCGCATGTATGTTAATACATTAGTGAAATCATAAAGTTAGGTTAATTACAATGCTGGTGGAACATTAATAAGTCGACCTAGACTAAACTATAAAAGATCAAGGTACATGAGGTTAAACAGGCTAATAATTGAGAAAACTGTAATAGATAGTATAGTGCGAGATATAGTAGTTTAACAAGCAACCGAGTATTTTCTGAATCAGTAAGTGCATAGAATTTGCTTTATTTTATAAAAAAGTAATGTGTTAGTCCTGTTTTATGTTTTCCATTTCTTTAATGAGTTTTTCGAGAAAAGAAGCAACACATTCCGAACTTCTTTTTGATATTTGTTTTGCAAAGAAATCGCCAGCAAATGTACCAACAAGCATGCCTACAACAGCACCAAGAATTGGAATTGGTATGAAAAACTGACCAATGAACATTCCTCCAATACTTCCTCCCACACGACAAGAAAAACCTATTGATGCATCCACAATTTCTTTGATAAACTCTTCTCTCTTTGTGATCAAAAGTCCTTCGTCCCATTTCTTCTTTGACTCTTTTATTCTTATACATAGCATTATTGCTTCTACCAGTGCTGTTATTCCAATACCAAAGATGGATCCAAGACCTGTTTGTGTGAACAAAATTTGTTGTTCGTTGAAATGGTCGACTTGATTATAGCTTTCATGCAAATATAAAGTGAATATTGTTCATCTGTTCCTCTCTCTACATACATTCTAGACATGGATATAATAGAACTAGATTGCTGACGAGTGTGACGTAATATAAGACTTATTAAGACGGCAGCGTGACATTCTTGATAAATCCAAGATGGCGCGGAAACCGGGCAAAAAACTTGGGGCTACTATTATGCAATTGTTGTTTTTTGCAGTTTACTTCGTTTCAGTGTTTTCAAACTCCTCCAATCAAGTTCTATTGGAAACAAAGCGTTATGAATAACGTTTTGAAGTCACATTTGACTATTATTATTAAAATACGGGCAAAAAATATCGCTTGCGAAGTGTTGTGTAAATTGGTCGTTTGGTTGTCCCGTGGCGTTTTGTTTGTCCACTAAAATCAACGAAGAAGTAAATTGCTAAAAACGTCAATTGCCCTATAGTAACTTCATGTTTTTGCCCGGTTCCCACGCCATCTTGGATTTATTATGGATGTCACGCAATATGGCGGCTCGTCAGCAATCTAGACCTACTATACATTGAGTTATATAAGACCTGGAGGGGAAAAGGGGCCTGGACCCCGTGGTCAAAAACATGGCGATAATGGCGGATTTTGGTGGTCAAAACTTCCACTTTAAAAATTTTTTTCAATATTCACTCCCTCCTGATTTCTTATACGAACGATGACAAATGAGAAAAAAACAATTACGATACCGACAGCATATCATGTGAAAATAATGCTTCAGAATTGCGTGAAAAACACATTACACACACACATCAAAATAAAGAAAATCGACGGTAGAAAAACACATATTTTGACTGCAACATTTAAGTTATTTTATGACATTTTAACCGTGAAAATCAAACGGCATTCTTTAGTAGACCTGTCAATCTCGTCAAACTTGTACATTATTTCATGCTTCTGTGTGTTTGACTGTCTTTAAACAGTTTGGTGCAACTATTTTCCTTGCTCAAATGGATAAATCTGTGTTAAAATGCTCCTAAGGAAGCGAGAAAATGTCCTACGACATAAGTCAACTGAAAATTTACCATGGATAAGTATCATGAGTGTATTGTCATTACCTGATAAATCTACTGAAAACTCATAAAGAAAGCATGTTGAGCTAGAAGAGCTACAAAAAGAAAAAAATTCAAAACACCATGATGATACTGTTGGTTGGAAATTAGTATTTTGTAAACTGCTTGGCAGAACCTTGGATCTATTACTGAACAAAACTACATTAATTTTCCATTGAAATAACAAACTTGGAAACTAGTTTGGAAACTAGGAAAGTGCATTGGTTTCTCTGACAAAAACACTCTGTCTATTGCTGCATGAAGGCAAAATAGTTAATTGACAGTGTAGGTGAAGAAATTTAGCAAGTTCTATAGATATTATTGTGCAATACTTACAGTCTTTTGGAATTGTGTAGTGTATGTCAAGAGCAAGGTATAATTTTTCAAAAATGCTAACCCCTTTTATGCACTACTATTCTGTATTGCTTGAACAACTTACAGCTACCAATACTAATTATTTATATGTACAAACTAACAATTGGGAATTAAGTGATAATAACTTCATAAATCTTTGTATTTTACATCAAGCCTTTGAATTTGTTCCTTTTATGTCTTGGTAAAAAAAAATATTAATGAAAGACTTACAAATCAAGTTTCTCGAAAATAGTATTTTGTACAAAGAAACTAAACATAATTGGAAAGGTCACATGTTGAAGACAGACTTTGCTTCTTTGACTAGGTTGCTTGACCATGAGCAATTTAAATTTGTTTACAATTTGTTTAAAGAATTCTTTTTATTGATTTCTACTAATTCTTCATAAGACACAAAGAAGTTCTTTGCCATCTATTTTTGCTTCTTCTTCATTCAACTTCATTGCAACCAATGCATTCGATGTGAATTTGTGGATCACCTGGAATCATACCAAGTATGGATTTGGTGAGATGAGACAATAATATGTTTAATTTTTCATGAATATTAATGATATAATCACAAGCTACTATTGAACAAAAATTTCAAGGTAGAAACAAATCTTAGCACATTGTTCAACACACTTCTTTTATCTTGGTTTTGAAGTACTAACCTGTTTACTATAACAATAAATACTTCACTTATAGAAACGCTAAGTAGTACTTTAAAACTGTTTGCATAAATCCAACTTTACGATCCCATTATAATTGTCTACACTATACAGTCAGTCAAATTGAGCAGGCAGGCAGTTTAATGGTTATTGTTATTATATGGCATATACAATAGTTCACATTAATTTTGCATTGCATTGCATTCAATTTCAACACAACTTTGCTGTAAACTTTTCCTAAATATTTTCAAAAAACAATATGAACAAATTCTGCTCCATTTTTGGGAGGTAAACTCAATTCAAATCAGGAGATTTTAGCTTGATCATGATACAAGATGGATGTAAAACTCGATAAAAATTGGCAGCTTCGCCTCGTCTGGCGAGCGATAAACTGAAGAACAAACAAGAATGGACCAAAATAACTTTAAATTAAAACCTAGTAGTAGAAACACTTTTCAAGTATCGTGTTAAAAACAAAATAGTTAAACTACTACTGTGCTACTTACCGGAGTCATGAAATGTTCCTTTTCTGTCGATATTTCAGCATCCGCAAACCACGGAAGCTTGCAGATTGTTTAATAAATATAATTTTAAAAAGTGTTTATGTTAGGAAAATAGTTTTGATATTTTCTATACTCCCAATCGTGGTGGTCAAATCAGGGTGGGCAAAAAAATTTTTATTTCATGAGCCCGCGTCTTTCCGCTGACTTTGACCACCAAAATCCGCCATGTTTTTGACCACGCGGCCGCGCGCTATTAATTTATAGTAATTTTGCTGACGTTTCCCCTCCAGGTCTTATAGAACTCAATGCTACTATATCTATGATTCTAGAGTATTAACTTTCCTGGAGTGAACTAATGTTGAAACTCGATTAATATATACTCCAGTCTAAAATTTGAGTCCTTATATACTCTAACTTTGTGTTTTCATCAGAGGTCACTGTTTTGAAACATGAGTTGTTGCATACTTCAGTCTAAAGTCTCATTTGACGTAACGTTGAAATTGATACAAACCTGAAAGTCCACCTTTTCCAACAAATTCAATGTTGTTTCCAAATGTAGAAAGACCTAAAACCTTTTCAACAACTTCAATAGCTATTTTGGGGATTTGCTGCACAGTTTGGTAGCCAGCTCGTACCATGCTTTTACAGTAATCAATAAAAAATGAAACTAGGCTGGTTGCTTGAAGACTGATGTTTAAATCACATAAACACCACATCACAAAACTTTCACAGTTGTTTTTCGCCACATCGTAGAATTTTTCGTCTTTTCTTTTTCTTGCTCGCTTTGCCACCTATCAACAAAAAATTGTTTCTTATTATTTGACAGTACATAGAGAAGATTTGTTTAAAGACAACGAAGTGTTTTCATTATGATAGTATTGTAAACGAGCAAGCATTTTTGCCGAGAAAGGCGATTATTAAAGAATATTAGGAGATAATTACAATGCTTCCCACCCTACGCCAGTAAAACAGGATGTATTCCATGGTATCATACACCATATGGATATATAAATGATCTAGAGCGTCATGAAAATGATGTCATTTGCTCAAATATGAGACATGTCATTTTTACGCCATTTACACGACGTCTTATAGACATTTTGTTTGGTAAATTTCTCTATGATGTGAACGGGTATTACCCTTAAAAATGTCATGTAAGTCATCGTCTACACAGCTTCTCCAAAAGATGTCTCTCACCTCTTCCACTGAAAATCGTTTCAATTCTTCTGGCCAAACGACTCTTTCGACTTCACGACCTTTCTCTTGCAACAGCTCTTCTTTTGAAAGGAAATCTTTGTGGGGTAAAGTCATTTCTTGTACAATACCGACTTGACCGAGTGTTGAACCAGATGAAAAGGATCCGGTTTTAAACAACTGCTTTGTTGCATTCTTGCCTGTATTTGTGTAGTGGATAATTATCGGATTTCCCTCATTTGAGTCAATGCACAAAAAATGATGGTAATACCAGATTTCCCCGAACATCTGAAATTTTTTTATCAAGTGATCCCCAGGTTTTATATCGGAGAATTCATATATTGCTTCTCTTGCTTGTATTTGCCATTCCAATATATGTCGCTGTTCTTTCTCGCTTTTTTTGGAAATCTCTTGCCAAATTTTCTCCGTATTATGTTTGGAAGAACTCATGGCAGAATGATTCAAAAATTGTTGTGTCTATACATGCACATTGTTATGCTTGATCTTAAAACAGACTTCCAATTAATCATATCGCAGTTTGAAATTTCGTTTTCTTCTTGAACACATATCATTATTTATTTTTTTAGAGATCTATTGTTTTTGCAGTGAGTGAACTGTGAACATCTAAATATATGCACAGCATAAACCACTTTTCAGGCTGGATAACTAACATGGTTTAAGCATGTGCGTCTGTTTTTGGTCTTTCATCCACAAAGCTAATGATTTGTCAATATGTCGTTGAGATGAAATGAAAAAATCGACTACTAAACTAAAATGTGCAACATCAATCGAGAAAAAGAACAATACAAATACTATTATAATTTTACCAAAATACAAACGAAAGTATTTGAAAGAGAAAGTGAAAAAATAATATTTCATTTTAATAATGGGCTTTTGCTGAGCTTTATGCTTGTTCCTAAAGAGTTGTTTTAAATGAAGCAAAACCGTTCATCAATTGTTCCTTGGTGACGTTTCTTCATAACATGCAAGTAATATATATCTAATATATAACTAAGGAAGTTTTGTTTATTTGAATTTCCGTAATTACAGTGCTCGATGCGTTAGAGCAGAGCATAAATATAGATAAGAAGAAGGAAATACACAAAAATTACAATTTCATTCCGACAACCTCTGAAGAGTGAGAAATCACGAAACAGGCTTGTCGGGATGAAATTGTAGTTTTTGTGTATTTTCTTCTTCTTATCAATAATATATACCTAATATATATGTAATATATATCTACATAAAGAGATTCTTTTTGTAGAGCTTTTAATATGAGCAAATTACATTTGAATGAAAACAATGATCGAAGTCAATTTCAAAAGTTTTGCCGAAAACTTCATTTCCTAATCATCATTCCAGTATTGCTATAACAACAGAACAGTTTTTAAACGCAAGATCCTAAACCAAGCACTTCTCCAAAGACAATCACAATTTGATCATCTTCTCTCTTCTAGTGTGCATGCAATGAGTTGATCGCGCCAGGGGGAACGAAAATTTTGGCAAACCTCTTTTATGTAGATTTTTACGTAATGCATTTAAATAGACAAATAAAAATATTTTAGATATTATCAAATCAAAGGGATCAGAATTCACCCTTTAACCTGAGCGCTTACCCTCTGAAGACGTTTTTCACGCTATAACCATAACGCTTACCCTCTGAAGATTGTATAATCTAAGATGGCTTCGAACGAAAGATGTAATTTTAGAGATTTGAAGAATAAAATTTGTTCAAGATGTGAAATATAGCAAATTTGCATTTGTTTTGCATATATTCAAATTATGATTGATATATTATCAAGTTTCTTTTGGAAAATTGATAATTTGGACAAACGTTTTTTGTTTATAGTGATAAGTTATAAGTGCACAGTACTGCCTTCTCTTATGTGTATCAAATTTGATTTCCCCCATGTTACAGCACAAAATGTTTGGGTTTGCGTGCGGTTGTTGACGATATGCTTATTGTTTGTGACAAAAACTAATACATGCAGTCATCAAAGTAAATAATGACTAGATAATAACGGTAAAGAGATATATTTAATTATAAAATAAACACAATGAAAGGCGTGCGCTGATTGGTCTAGAGCTGTGTTTGTATTAGCCTGTGCAAAACACATCTGAGCTCAACCAATCAAATCAATCAAAACAATCAATCAGTCAAGAGAATTTGCAAATCGATCATGAACATTACTTAGAGGAAAAATTAAAATGTCTGTCTTTTTTGCATTATTGTTATTTTATAAAAGAAATAAGAGATGTTTTTCGTGTTGATCACTCTCGAGCATGTGCAACCCTCGATCTTCGGTTTTGGGCTTGCACTGTCTGCTCTCGAGTTCTCCCAAAGGTCTCCTCGGTTTGCATAAGCTTGTGCAAACACATGCAGTAAACATCTTTTATTTCTTAAATGATTAACCCTGCAAAACCTTTAATAGATAGAAAGAAAGATCCTCACGAATCAATCAACATTGTACGTCATAAAAGACTTATAATGAAGTACTTTGCACTCTTTCATTCCGCAAACCGACCCATCGTTCCCCCCAATGCGAAGTGTAAAGATTACATTTTAAGAACAAATTTTGGAACATGAACATTTTGTTCAGGGATTCTCCAAATTACATTGCATTGAAAAAAATTGTAAGGCAATTTGATCGTCTAAGTTAGAGTTTAAGGTTTGTGAACTTACAGACTTTAGAAACTTGGAGAGGAGATGACGTTGATGGGAGGGATTCATGAATGCATCGTTGCTTTTTATAAGTCTAACACCCCGTAATTAGATATATTTGTCACAAAAAAGTTTTTATATGGTAATCTACTAGTTTATTTCCTCTGATGTTATATATTGATCATGCATACTTCTTATTTTGCTTTTAACCAATGAGAATGTAAAATTCTTGAGACATGGGTAATAAGTGGCATTATCTAAATCTAACTTGACCATACGTTATAATTTATAACCATATTCGTCTGTCGTATGCCAAGGTCCATACTAAAACGAGGCTTACTATCTCTCAAGCAGTCGTTTGAAAATCTATCACAAAACATTCAAGATGAATTTACCACTACTGGCATCAGTCATGCTGATATTTTGTACTTCCATCGTCGATTCGGTTGCTGGTCGTGAATATTCAAAAGGTAAAGTGCTGAACATTATCACAAACAGTTTAGTCTAGAATGTTTTACTATTATTTACTAAGAAAAGACATCGACGTTTGTCTAAAGCAAGAACCTATGATTTGAGTCATGAATTTATTGGACGAAATAGTTAAAGGAATTTACATCTTTCACAGATGAACCAAAATCGTTTGCTCTTTTGTTCAGGGAATTTAAAGCGCTTCTATTTCAAGCCAAAATTTTTTCATAAAAGATTGACGGGTTATCTGAGCAAAAAAGTTGAATTATTTTTCAAGTTGTTCTTGGAAGGAAAGGTTCAGCAAGCTGTCAACAGCGTATATGCGAAGGATAGCGTGTTTCTGCCGCAAAGTGCACCGGAGGCAATAGGCAGGAAAGGTAAAAAAGACTGTTTGTTTGAAAGTTGATTACATGCATAAAAACTGAACCTCGCACGCACGTCTGGTAGACTGGAGTCTTTAATTCTGCATTCGTTTTTTCCTTTAGGAATATTTAATCACTTCATTAGGGGAGGACCGTTAGGAAATATCACCACCAACATAGACTTTAAAGTTGAACAGATGATAAAAAGGGGAAATGTAGCAATATTAAGATATCGAGGACATTCTTACGGAAAGAACAACGAAGTGTTAGTGACATTCCGGTAAGCATGCTATGCTCATACATAAAAGGAAGCGTAGGTGAAGAGAACTCAAGGCATAAAATTCAACATAAAAGGATAACTTTTGACTTTTTGTGGTGAATTAACCTTTACAGACATATACTATTTATTTGTCTTTTTTCAATTATGAATACGAAATTTGTCTGCGCAGAGATGTGAATAATTAATTATCTGCAGGATTTTGACCAATGAGAGTACGAGAAAATTGTACACTGAAAAGTAATTTGATTGGTCTATACGTCACCATTGTAATGGCAGCTTAGGATTATTCGTCGAGTTTTTTTGTATATTCATAACAAAATATTACAGCATGTGAAAAATAAAAACAAAAAATTTGTATCGTGGTCTTTATAAATAATGTAAATAAATACGCATGTAAATCCTCCAGAAGCCCCTTTTCATGTTTAACTGTTAGTTAAATAGAAAAGCCTTTTTTCTTTAATCAAATATTTCAAACTTTCTTATAGGGAAATGTTGGTGTTCAAGAAGATCAACGGTGACTACCTCGCTCACGTGGGAATGGCGAATTTTGAGAATCCATGTCCGATTTCGCCGCCGTGAAGAACGTAAAATTATATGTTAGTTTCTGTACGATTTCTCAACAGCAAGAATGAAGTTGGTCAGTATAAAGACATAGTTAAAGCTACAATTTTTTCAATAAAAATCTCTATTGCAAAACATTTTCGTCTCATTGTATATTTCATCCATAGACGAATGACTGAGTAGTAAGTTAGTGAAGGGAGGCAGATGGAAGTGTTTGATTTTTTAAGAATTCATCGATACTGTTGAGGAAACGATTAGCACGATTGTCGCATGCATGTTAAAGAAGTCATTTCAGTAGAAAAGTTTCCTACATGAGCATGGAGTTTTTATATAGATAGAACAATGTTTGAAGATTTTGTGATGTTAGGAAATAAAGAGCGCTTATATTGAAAGGAAATGAAGCTATGAAAATTGATTAACTTGAGAGAGCAATAAGAAATTGTGGTACGAACAACATATTTTGACTTGAAATAAAGGAAGCGTGCTGAAGTATTTGACAAGTTTGAATAAAAAGAAATGTAAGAATTTTTGTTGGTTGTGATTGTTAAGAAAGAGGTGTGTGATCCAAGCAGAAGGGTAACTTATGTGGTAAAGTCAATCACAACTTCTTGTTTGAGGACATCAAGATATTAGCAAATAGACGGCCTAAGGAGACTACCACAGCCCTGTCAACGGTCTTTCTCAAATGCTAAAGTGAAATCATGAGAGACACGCGGACCGGAACTATGATATTATGCAATTGTGCCGTGTGTATTTTGAATGAAATTCCTGCTCGCCATGAACTATATATATTTAGCAAGCTTGGTTGATGCTATTGTTTTGATTGATTCTGGCTAAAGCTAAGAGCAAGGGTTCTCAAAGAATGGAAGGTATGTTGGGCATAAATTTCTTGTTGAAAGTCTGAAAACAGAAGTGGCATTTCATGTATAGTGATTGTGTTTGAGCTGCTCTCCAAACATTCTCTGACTTACGATCTGATCCCCAGTTTTGGAGCATGTGCAGTTTGATTGGAAATGGTTTATACCATCTGAAGACGCGATGAAACCGCGTTGAAGAAACCCTCAAGCAAGTGCATGAAAGTGAAAACATATAAAAAATGATACCATTAAGTAAAACTTGACAACATATAAAGTGTATAGTGCTAGAAATAGATTATTATCAAGTGTTTGAATTTGAATATAAATCATCGTTTACTAAACAGTGTGCTGAATCATTTGGTAAGATGTCTAAAATACGTTCTTTACAATATCTATAGCGAGGAGCTTTTAAGAGTTTGAGCTTGATAAATGTTTTGAACAGATTTATCACGCGAGGCGCAGATGGCAAATTACGATTTGATTACACATTTGAATGATTTTTAGACACTGAAGCGCCTTGTATATTGTGCATAGAAAGGTTATATGAAAGGTCACCCCAGTCGGAACCTTTGTGTTTTGTCCTCGTACATATCTTGCTGTGCGTATTAACCGCAATTATTCCAGCCAGTTGATAAGGATTTTTAACTTTTTCGAACCATTAAAATTACCTGAAGTCATGATTTCTTACGTATAAATATTTTCAAATTCATTACTCAGAAATGACGTTATACCACTTTAGTCATGGGAAACAAGCGATTGACTGTCAGGAAAAATGACGAATGTGAGAACACGTTGCCCCCCTGACTGATCCTTGTATTATTTGCTCTGTGATAACGTGTGCGACATGATTATATGAATATCTTTGTTGTGAAATTTGAAATGCTTTTATTCAAACGCAACTTTGTTCCACGAGGCACTATGTATGCCGCTTTTCCAGTTTTCATATTTTCCTCGTTCTGTTCTCCGGAATTTGTTTCAGGACATCAAGATGATACTTGCTGCTATCAGGAATGTTTAATAAATATAGTAACAAGTCACGTTCTAAGCAGGAATTTGCATGTTTTTAGTGAAGAAAATAATCGAAGAAAAACTTAATACAGTCTACGCACTCCTTGTTGAGCAAAAAATTGAGGAAACACTGGACTTCTATACAGATGACTGCATTCTCATCCCCCAAGGTGCTTCAGAGGTAAAAGGCAAAAAAGGTGAACGAAGAATTTTTGTTTGTACTGTCGATTTCATTCATAACAACAAAAAGTTTGCCTACGTAATTTTAAAACTACAATCTTTCATCTTGCTATGATACAGAGTTATTAGAGCACTACAAAACACAGTTGGCTTTGCTAAAGTTAGTGACTAGAGTGGATGTTCAAATTAAAGAGGTGTTCGACGGAGGGAACATTGTGACTCTGCGATATACGGGAAAGGCGATTGCACAAGATGACTCTGTTCTTATTCAGTATCGGTAAGATAAAAGAATGTTAGAATGAGGGCCACATATGTTGATAAATGCATATTTGCACAAATACATTATATTCGATCAATGAAGTAACAATTTTTGTAAAAAGGAGGCAATCTGTACTTATTTCAAATTTCGACTAAACGTCCAATAAAATCGTTAAGTTACCGTCAAAAATCGAAAAGTTTAAACCAATTTTCAAGCCAAAATAAACGAAACATTTCTTTAGATTAAGCCAGCCCAAAACCATTAATTCCATCATTTTGTAAGCACTTTGTTCACAAAACGAGCAAACATAGCATGTTGAAGAAATAGTGTATGGTATTGTATGATGAAATTGCCAGAGAAGCCAAAAATATGGAGATAAATATTAAGATGTGAGTCAATTTGTCAAGCAGAACTGAATAAGTTTCTTCAATCTTAAGTAGAGTTGATTTCGACTTTTAATAATTTTATTGCTATTTATGCTCTAATCAGGTCAACAATCTGACAATGATTATCCATGATGTAATGTTTGCTACGTATTCATGATTACCCATGATGCATTGTTGAAAAGGTCTAGAAACAATAGTGTTGTTTCTAGTAATTTGAGAAACGCAACATGACTGTAGCAATCACAACTAAACCAAATTTCAAATGAAAAATTGCAGGGCGATGACGGTTTGGAAGAAGATCGACGGCAACTTCTTCATACACAATGTCATAGTAAATAGGCCAAAGTAAACACTCTCTTTTTGTGAGAATAAGATAACTGATCAAAGTCATTGCTGAATTTTTAGTTAAATATGAGCCATAAATACGAAAAACTTGTATTGTAAGAAAAAAATCATTACATTTAACGAAATGGTTTTAATCTTGGGATCATAATGAGTAAAGGAAACATAGATTTCAAGGTGGGATGCGCTTCCTAACCACATCAACCCCTTTTAGTCGCCTTTTACGACACGCAGAGGTTACGTTGGGTCTATTCTAAGATGCCGGAACCCACACGGCAAAGATAATGAGGGAAGAAAGGAATGTGAGAAGAAGGAATGAGGAAGGCGAGAAAATACAAGAATGGGCAAAACGAAAGAATTGCTACTGTGTATTACATGGTATCATAAATAAATTGAGCATCTGATTACTTATGGCAGTGCTGGAAAAAACAGTCATTTGGATACTATCTCAGAGAAACAAAGAGATACAAAGAATTTAAAGAACTGCAAAGTGAAATTGTGAGTCAATACAGACTGGTAGTGCTTGAAATCTTGAAAAGCAAAAGGCAGAGTAGGAAGGTGAGAAAGATGGGAAGATTGAAGATATGGAATTGAAACATTGGAAATAGAATTTTTCCTATCAAAATTTACTGTCAAAGCATAAAGGTATATAGCCTGTTATACTTAATCTTCCTTGGCAATAGTATTATATGATACCCACTGCCGTAGAGGGCAATAACTTGCCAAACCATTACCATTAAGCAAACCAGAAGAGAATGCGAAGAATATTACAATAAAAGAATAGAGGTGTAGTCTACTAATAGTCGTGATTCGAGCTGAAAATTGATTAAATAAAAACAATTCAATGTATTATTTTATACGCCCAATGCTTCCTTTCTCATCAAAATTATGATTTGACAAACTTGATTTGCACAACAAGTTTACCTGTCGTGCTATTTTGCATACATTACAGTGCAGTGAATGCACAATATTTTAGTAATTCAATTCAGAGATGCATTCATCCATTATGAAAACCGCAGTGTAGAAACTTTTTCCCATCAGTTAATTATAATTCATTGCTTTTGCCTTTTCATGTGTGAAATCATCGATATAAACGATGGCACCCTTACACATTTTATCTACCACTTCTAAAGAATGTTAAAACTTCGAGAGACAGTATAGCTGTTTTCATTTTTAGTTCGTAATCCATTCGAATGACAGAAAATACATGCCTGACTCGCAGCTTCTTGCAAGTCGTTTGGAATTTACCAATTATAAAAATTCGAGTTCATAGGACTGCATTATGGCTGAGGTGAAAAAAAAGGAAAAAAATTTAAATCAATCGTGTTGGTGTGAAGCTTTTGGTAACATATCACTTCATTTATGAACTCTCACACCCATCAACATCTTTCCTCCCATTGGCTAAACCAGCATTAAATTATGTATTTAATAGTCATGTAGTTTGCATGAGGTCTGTTACGTGTCACTTATTTTCAAAGAGTCTTATTTACGAATCTTCTTTGAAGAGATGTTCGATCAAAAACGCGTGTTGCGACATCATTAACAATGGACAGACGATTTCTAAAGACGAATCTACCCTAGTTTGTTGAACAAAATTTTGGCCTTTTTAAGAAACACCTAGTTGAGTACCAATAAGATTTTGCTGATTTATTTACATTGAAGTGAGGTAAGCACACAAATTCTTTTTCGTCTTCTATCTGATCATTGAAGAAAACAATTTTGATTTTTCTAGAAAGATTTTACACAACCGAAGTTGCAAATACATATTTCGTTTTTAGTCTTTCGGGACATTATTTCACGACACTGCAAAATATATTATACTTTAAGATAATGACAATCTTTAGTTTTATGAAAGAATGTTATATGCAGTGCGGTGTTGAAATTAAATGAAGATTTGATCCCGTTGAGTCACCTGAATTTTTCAGTTTCATGAGACAATTGCTTAAATTGTCCAGCAAAAGTGCGAAGATCGTATATTCATTTAATCTTTAGTTTACCCCATACTGAGAAGGCAAAGTACAGTTTTCGCATTTCGTGCAAGACTGGCTTTTTGAGTGACAATTTTCACTCTTTGAAGTCACACGACGCCTTCTCGTTATATGAATAATCTTAAGTAAAAATCTAAGTTGATCAAGCAGACACTTTCGATCGTTTGAAAAGAACAGTTGGACCTTTTCCTTATTGTGTTGTAGCAGTAGTCATCTTCAGAGTCTCTGATTGAGACCACCGGTCTACCACTAAGGTTGTCGACACGTCAGTCAACAACAACAAAAACAATCCTTCTCAGGACTATACCAACCTGGACGATCCACATCTACAAACATGTAACGATACTTCCGGGTTCAAACGATTTACTTCCTTTCATTTATTTACACAAATTGCTTTAAATTTTCCTTTTGCAAGTGAAAATGAACAAATTCACAAAGGAAATATTGATGAATTTATATAGAAATGTTCATGTCAAACTGATCTTTTCAAGCGATCGAAAGGTTATACTGGATCAACTTGGATTTTTACTTAAGATTATTTACAAACGAAAAAGCGTTGTGTGTCTTCAAAGAGTGCAAATTGTCACTGAAAAAGCCAGTCTTGCACGAAATGCAAAAACTGTATATTTTTCTTCACGATAAAATTTTCTCCGTTTGTATGTAGGAGGGTCTTGTATCTAAGCATATTTCTATAATTTTGCCATAGTATGATCTGCCATTACTCAAAGATGTAGGAATGCCTTTGTGCTTAATTAAAAAGAGCTCTTTGGCGAGAAAAACGACCATGAAATAGCGAAATAATGAAACAAATTATCAAAGAATATTCTCTAAATTAAACCTAGTTCTAGTGAAGTTGAGGAGTGGGGAAACATCATTTGCTACTTGACTAAAAGATCGCACCTTAAAATAAGCTATCACTGATACTATGTCAAGTAACAGATGAATGACTACGAAAAAATTCAAACGGAGACAAGAACATTTTGTAATAGAGATGTCTCAAGATAGAATTTAAATTCAAAGTCCACAACGGTTATGGTCTTCAAAGCTCATTTCTTCTAGAAATTTAAGTAATAAAACAAATAAATGTAGGGTGTTGTTTCCTCCAATGTTTAGTTCAGCAATCATGGCGTACAGAGGTTCTCTCGCTCATTTGAAACTTGATTGTGAATCAAGTATTTGCCCTTGATCTTTTTCCAAACGATGATTAGACTGCAAAAAATTTATTCATTTAGTTTATTTGCCATTATCGAATTGGAAATGAAATGCTAAAATTTGGCTGCCCGTGGTGTGTTTTTGCATTTTAAAGATCCTAATCATCTTCAAAAAATATTTCTTTCACGAACGCAAAAGGTCAAAAGGTGAACTTTTGCTCTCGGTTATAAGATGACAGCCAAATATTCTATGTTATGTCAAAATTCACTTTAAAATATGTTCATTCATCGTAAGAATGAAAAATTAGATTTGCTGTTAAAAGTTCTTACCGGGTAGTCGTAAGGACACTGCAATCTGCGAAATGGTTGGTCGCGTGGTATCTAAGAGTAACAATGTCTCCCTTGTCATAAACGTTGTCCATAAAAGCGTTAACCTTTTTCATAATTGTTGAATTATTAAAAACGGTTTGGTAGAGATGTAACAACTCTAAACGATATCGTGAAAATAAAAAATGAAATTTTTGCAACATCTGCGAGTGTTCAGGCAAGTTTTTTAAAATGAAAAATGCCTCCCTTTGCCATTTATTGCCGGTGCACCTTGATTAATCAATACACAGTTCTCTGTATAGAATTTCACAATTTCTTCACCCTCGATACCGAGTGTGTAAATTTTGTCAAGTATGGCTTTGAGTGTTTTTTCCACTAGATAAAACAAAGAGTCCGATAAGAATTTTGATTTTCAAAACACCAACGAGTGATTCAGACATCGAATTCGAATTATCTGAGCACTGATTTGAGGCCATACTTTCCGGAAAACTGGTTTTTTAATATTTTATTGAAAATACTGTCATTATTTGTTTTTAAGACAAGAAAAACGACAACTAAATCACCTTCTATAATATAATATTATATTGACGGAAACAGACGTGTTCAACTATCTACGTCACAAGTATCAATATGGCGTCGTAAAAAATTCGCAAATAGTACCCGACTTTGGAGGCAAAATTAAGGAACTTATATTTATCTGTTTAAGTCCAGCGACATGTCATAGTTCTTCAAATAATCCAAATTTTCAATTAAGCTCATGAAAAAGGGGGGCTAAAATTCGTAATATAAGCACTTTAATGGAAAAGCATTTATTGATGATATCATTAAAGTTTATTGACTGTCAATGTTATTTATTTTTATCAAAAGGCGTCAATAATATTTATTTTGTTGACCAAAATGGGAACTAGTATCCATTTTTATTAATGAGTACATTAATTAATAATTGGTCTCTAACCACTGTACTTTAGCTGTTCACCCAGCCAAGCACCCCCCCTCCCCCCACAAAACAACCCTACCTGGATCCACCACTGATCTAAGCTACAGCCTTCAGGAAACATTACTATGGGTTATACGACAAGAGACTTGGGGTTCAAGAACAAGCATGAGGAAATACTACTATGGGTTATAAGATAAGAGACTTGGGGTTCAAGAACAAGTATGAGGAAATACTACTATAGGTTATAAGACAAGAGACTAGGGCTTCAAGAACAAGCATGAGGAAATACTACTATGGGTTATACGACAAGAGACTTGGGGTTCAAGAACAAGCATGAGGAAATACTACTATAGGTTATAAGACAAGAGACGTCAGAGGTGATTTCAAGATGACATTGATGTCCACAAGGAGTTTTACCGATTACAGGAAAGCACCTTAGAAATGGCTGTAGTTGGTAATCTTCTGATGGCGATCGATGAAGGAAGAGCGCATAAGTTCAAAAGAAAAAACTTACGTGACCTTACGCTTCAAGGTACAGTAAAAGTTTCAAGAATGCTTTAAATTTTGCAGGTGTTGGAATTGACGCAAACAAAGCTTGTTTTTGTTTTATTACTTTTAGATTTTGAAAAAAATGATGAAAGAGTCGTAGATGAAGACGAAGGTGAACCAATGATATTTTATTTATAAAAAGAAATCAATGGACGTTGCAATTATATAAGCTATCGTAACTGAAA